GAGCCACAGAATTCGTTTTGGCATCGTTGGATAGAGAATTGAAAACTCGATTCAGTCGTAACAACGTGAGTGAGGAAAATCGAGTAGTTTTTACCCAGAAAGTGAAATTTGAATATCAGACACTTCGGTGCAAGATTATGCCAAAATTCCATGTTTTCCGTCCTGTTTTTGCTTATGTCTCGGAGGCAAAATGAGCAAAAACGCTCATTTGTAGATCATTCTAGACAGAAATGAATGGTTTTTTTAGAAAGTGAACCATGGATGGGGAAATGTTGGCAGTTTTCTCAAAAAATGCTTGAATTCAAGAAGTTTTAGATTTGCGTGGGTTTTTTCGAGTTGGTGGAAGGAAGCCGATATTTATTTGGTTCCTGGGAAAGTGTCAGTGGTTGCGCAATGTTCTGAGTGCTTTTTCTGCTGTTAAATCCAGTTCACGTCTTGATTATGCCATTTTTATTTTCATGATTACCAAATTTACTTATTGTTCTACAGATTGTAAATAGTAGTAAATTAAAGTAATCCGCGACATTGACCAACAGCCTGCCAAAAGCATGCTATTATGATTTTTCGACTATCGACTGGCCCACATTTCTGGTAAAATCCCATTCGCTCTACGTGAAATGCATGTTGCGAATCCGACTGGCAATGAATGCGGGTGATTTGGACTTTTCGATTTTCCGTTGCGATTGTGTAATAATGAAGCAAAATGCGTATGAAAAAACGCGGAAGCCACCATCATCTGCACATGTGCATGGCGTATGGGGGAAGAAAGACTTGAAATAGTGAAAATTTGCGCATTCACGAGTTTAGGGGAAATTTTCATCAGATTTCTCTGGTACGGAATCGCCCAGTAGATCAGGTCAGAGCTTTGACGGGGCTCAGATGGTGCATTTGCATAATGCTGTAAAGTGGCCCGAGCTGGTTTACCGGCGGATCCACTAATGGAAATTCCAATATTTGCAATTAAAAACAACAACGGCTCCCTAATTATTTGAGCTGATTTATCGGGCCAAGGAAGGAATACTGAATGGCCGGGTGAAAAATCCAATGGGAAAAAATCGGTCCAGTGTGGCGCTTTTGTGTCCGCATAGCGCGCCTTCGCATGGATGAAATAGGGGCGCATTAAGTGTCCAGGCCGCAGTAAGGAATGCAAAATCTGCAGCGCGATACAAATATCCCAACGGAGTAGGAGAATTTTATGGACTGACTCTAAAATGTGAAACATGCAGCCTGATGATGACAGCGGCTCCAGGAGCAATATGGAAAATTTGCAGCCCCCATTCATACTGAGCTGAGCGCGGCGTTCAACAGCTACACGTTCTTAATTACGGCCATTCTTGCCATTTAATATAACTAATACGGTGAAATATCGGCTGTGGAGCAACAGCGCTTTGTGTCCCATAACTTCCGTTCCACCTTATTAAATGCATCGGATAACTTCCGACAAAATGTGCCGAAAACAGCAGGAATTGATATTTTGCAGGCGCAAACACCACAACGGGATTAATCCATTTGCTTAGTTCACAATGTGCATGAAAATTGTTTAAAAATCCTTGCGAAGCAAAGTCAGACTGTTCTTGTGTGCACCAGTCGTATTGCGCCCAGACTCAGAACAGACCTGATAGCTTCTAATCTAATGTAAAAGTTAGCGTGGGCCTTGTTTTGTCCGAACCCATTATGTAAGCGTTCACTAGCCATATTCAACTTGCCTTTTTTTTTATTCTTTATATATACAGGGTTATTCACGATATACGGCAAGGACGTTTGCGGGTAGCCCGTTTGTTTTTTGCAAAGCATTATTTGATAAATCCACAGACGCGTATCGGGTGCACATTTTGAAAATGTTTTTGTAATGTACAGAGTGTCCCAAAAGCCCTAAAAGTATCAAAGTTGTGTTTTTCTAAATGAAATACCCTATATATTATTGCATTTTTGGATTCTCTGAGCAAAATAAGTGTTGGTTTTAATAAGATTTATAATGTCTAAGTCAAAAGGTTTTCTAAATAATTCGAATTTTATCAAAATCTAATATTATTTTCATGTGTCAATACTTTAGAGTTATTTAAGTTATGTAAACGTAATTCGTAGTGTACTGTAACAAGAAATCATATTTTATATCCCGATGATAATAAACTTACCATTTTATACAGGGTGTCCACAAATTTAAACTAATCAAATAAGAACTTTAAGTGGCTATAACTTGATTAATTTAAATACAACCCCATATTTTTTAGCTTACCAGGAAATGCAATTTTCAATTACCTATCGAATGGTACTAGGATGTTGATAACTAAGTTTTTGCCTTTTTACAAAATGAATCAAAAAATGCAATAATATACAGGACATTCCATTTTAAAAAACCCAACTTTGATACCTTTAGAGCTTTTGGGACACCCTGTACATTACAAAAATATTTTTAAAATGTGCGCTCGGCAGGCGTCGCACAATTCATAAAATAATACTTTTTTAAAATCCAACGGTTTAGCCGCAAACTTCCGTGCCCTATAGCGTGAATAACCCTGTATATACGGTTTAAAAATAATTTTATGCTCCGGTTGGTGGCCAACTTAGGTAACCCAGTGGTTGCCCAATGAATTCTGATGGTAAATCCCGCACTGGGTCTTCTACAGTGACGCACCTCCTATGGTGTCGACACGTCTTCAACATATATTAGCCAGGCACTACCAGAACCGCTCATTGTGAGTGGTTTAGTGCGAGCAAGAGTTAAACAAGTTCAAATTAATGATGATTTCCAAAAGGCTTTTAGTGCTGCTGATAGTTACAATAATCGCGCTTGTTTTGGTGCAGTCGCGACCCAGCAGTTATAATGGTATTAACATTTTTTTTACTACTAACCTGAGAAGTCACCATTAGTCACCCCATTTGCTTAGTGAGAACAGTGAAAAGTCAAATTTTTAACCTTAGTTCATCATGAAATATCTGTCACTTTTTTTATGATTTTTATTTTGCCCATCTGTCTAAGTTCGGGCGAGATTCCATCCATTTCCACTTCTTAATCACTGTCACTTTAAGATTCACTAATTTTCCGCTTTTCCAGACGTTTTTCATTGAACTTTTCATCTGGTATCTGGAGCCGGTAAATTATATTGCGACAGTTTGTCAGTTTGACAACTGCACGTCAGGCTATCAAATATTGCGATACTTGCACAGTTTGGCAACTTGTAAGGTCTAGTTAGCTAATTATTTACTTTTATTACAAACTACGTAAAATTTTGATATTGAAAAGTTTTCTTTTACAATTTTTTGATTAAATGTCAAAGCGGCAATGATGTCTTTTGTCATTAACATATAGTTGCAGGTGGATAGCCCTTGTCAATAATAACAATAGTTTGTCAAACTGCGACTCACTGAGAGGTAGGCCTGGGTAACACTGTGTTGAGTTGCGCTTTTGAGTTGTTGCCGCTCTCTCAGTTAATGAATTTTAACTCATTGGTTAATGAGTTAATCAAGTCACAAGTTTTCCGAATAATTTATCATGAAATTTCGCTTGTTCAGTTTGTTTTTTGATAGAAAACTATTTGATTTTTGTCCCAAATTCGAACCTGGAAACGGATTTGAAAACTTTTTAAAAGCGACGAAAGAGGCGAGTGTTCTAATAAAATCTATTACATAATTTTTTGCGAAAAATAACTTAAGATTCTCGGTATTTTTAAGTGAATCTTTGGATAATTGAGCATTTAGAAAAAGAGTAACATTGCCAAAACTGGAAAATTCTGAAATTTTGAAGAGATGTTAAAAAACACGGTTGCTAAAAACAAGTAAAAGAGCCATGCGCCTTGCGTTGGCGCACCAAACCAGCAAGGCGCCAACTCCTAAAATTCATTGAGTTACCCAGGCCTACTGTGAGGCTTCCAGGAGCACTCAGAACATTGCACAACAACTGACACTTTCCCAGCTTCCAAATAAATACTGAGGAAGAGCTACATTCCTACCATGTATCTAAGATAAACAGAGCACAAGGACACATTAAACCAACCGCTCACTGAACACCGGTACAAATTGAGCAGGCGTTAATTAACCGAAGCTGCTCGATAAGAGTGGATGATAATAAGGAGATTACAGAGGCACTAACTTGTTTCGAGCTAATGACTCAAATGTATGTTTATCTGCGAATATAAATTCGGGGTTATGCACAACACATGCGGCAACACAGTCAAAGAATCCTGTTGAATTTTCCGATTATCCTTGTCTATTTTATTGTCACTCTCTATAATTCCATGGCTACCGGATTTTTAAATAATTACAAAGTAACAGGTACTTCCGTAATGTTAATTAGGCAGATTACCGTGAAAACATTGTTGCCGTCTTTTTGATATGGTTTTTTGCAAATTCCGCAGTTTTAAAAGCAATTGATTTTTTAAAATTTAACTGACGTTACTGGCCACTGTTCACAAATGTACAAGATAGATTGGGGCAATTTTCCCGCAAACGAAACCACAAATGTTCAACTGTGAACTTGAAAACTACGCTGCATAGAAGAAAGCGAAGCTCACATAAGAATGTAATCGTGCAATTTATTGACCCAGAATCGATTGTTTTCAATAGGCTTTTCCCATTGTTTGGTTTAACAATCAACGGCCACATTTCGCACTTTCTTCTTTTATATAATCGGCGCGAAGGCCGAATCTCATTGTTGATTAGATTGCGTAAGCATAAGATGCTCGGTATGCAAGTTTTTCGGCTGGGGGCTTACTTGACTCGCCCTGTATGTTGTTCCAGACCTGCCAGATGTAATGTGCCGCCTTCCAGAGATGCGAGGCCATTGCAGAGCGCTGATCATGCGATGGCGATACGATCCAGAGACTGGCAAATGCGACGAGTTCGGGTTTGGGGGCTGCGATGGGAACAGCAACAATTTTCCTACCCGAAAGGCCTGCATGGACATGTGCGCAGGTGAGTGACTGAATTCAATGCCATCCCCCTACAGGTCTGCTTGACTGGTGAATTTTCACGTTCTAGAGGTGCGATAATGGTCCAATGTGGAGCAACTGAGGACGTTCGGTGGTACAAATTATCGACTTAAAATTGTTTTATTTATTTACAATTGTTATTGTTTGCAATAAAAGCTGATTTTTATGGTTGTGCAGTTTATGGGGGTGGTTCAAAAGTTGCCACATCTCTCTGGGGGTGTTGCGGGAGTGCAGGAAAAATAGCGAAAAAAACCAATCCTTATCAAGAACTGAGATATTTGCAAAAAACCAAATGAGAAAAACGGCAACAGCGTTCTCAAGGACACAGTCGCCTGGGAGTGACAACAAGTGACCTGATGCGTCAATTTGAATCACCCTTGTGAGAGGGGCGCTTAAACAAATCGGGATTTATGAATCGCTAGCCTCGCCTGTCGGACAATGTCTTTCGATTGAACTTTAAAGTCGCCATCTCCATTGATTCTTTCCAGTATCTGGCAATGACTCATCAGTAATTTTCGGCCAATCTGGGCATTCTTCGCGGCGTGGGTGAAAAAACTGGTAAAACATTGCGGCAATAAAAGCTGATTTTTATGGTTGTGCAGTTTATGGGGGTGGTTCAAACTTGCCAGATTCCTCTGGGGGTGTTGCGGGAGTGCAGGACAAATAGCGAAAAAAACTAATCTTAATCAAGAACTGAGATATTTGCAAAAAACCAAATGAGAAAAACGGCAACAGTGTTTTCAAGGACACAGTCGCCTAGGGGTGACAACAAGTGACCTGATGCGTCAATTTGAATCACCCTTGTGAGAGTGGCGCTTAAAGAAATCGGGATTTATGAATCGCTAGCTTCGCCTGTCGGACAATGTCTTTCGATTGAACTTTAAAGTCGCCATCTTCATTGATTTTTTCCAGTATCTGGCAATGACTCGTCAATAATTTTCGGCCAATCTGGGCATTCTTCGCGCCGTGGGTGAAAAAACTGGTAAAACATTGCGGCAATAAAAGCGAAGGCCCTCGGAGGGCGAATCGATCACCAAGACAAGATTAATTATAGCTGTCGACCGAAGGGTAGGCAGAGTGACAGAAAGGGTTAGAAAATGGGCAACTGATGAGAACGCCTTCGTATCCGGCCTGCTCGATCATATTAGAACCGAAAAAATGGCGTGATTTTGAGGAAAATTGGTTGAAATGAGCAACTTTACGCTATTTAAAAGTTTTGCGTCTGGCGCTCGTTCTATGTTCATTTCCTGGGTACGTCCGATAACTTTCGGACGATTCTCGCCTCACTCACTAGATACTTTTCGGACGATAAGCGCGATTGCCACATTTCGGCATGAAATTTATGCAAACTAATGACAATTGAGTGCGCTAAAAGCGCACATACCACCTTTATGGACGGGCCCGAATCGCAACCGCCCGCTCTTCCCAGAAAGCAGAAAATATTACCTACATATTTATTAAATATCCATATGTTTCGCAAACATTTCATAGCAAAAGAAATATTTTTTCAATATTAGCAAAAAATATTTGTTATAGTAATTTTTAATTAGCATGAAACAAATAAATTAATAATAATTTTTTGACATTTTATTCAGAACTGATCGATCTGATTGCGACAGAAATCATTTGCCGTGTTTGAACTTGAAAGTTTGACGTCATTTCGGAATTAGGCTACAAAAAGCCGCTTGCTTGCTGTAGCCACCTACTCGGTGGTCCCAGTGTTGCCAAACTTTTCAAAACGCATGCGTGTAGAGGCATTGAGTGTGCGCGGTAAAAAATTACTCGTTCTGAACCGAATTCGATCTCGTTGAAAATTTCATATCATTCACACTAAAAGCAGTGGCAACTTGAAATTTGCACCATCTTTAGACGAAAGCTAACTGCAATAAAGAGGAAGGTTTTAGGAAAATCGCCAGGAATCCTGATTTTTTTACAGCTTTGTAAACATCAGGATCAAAATGTAAGTTTTTCCAAACTAAAACTGAACGTGCGCCTCAAACTAAGTAGGTAATAATTTGAAAATCTCTATTAAGTTTAAGAATTATTAAGTTTTTTATGTTTATATTGCATTTACTTCAGTGATTTTGATCAGAACGCCAATGTAAAAATAAACTTGGAATTGCCACTCAGGGTGAATGGAGACAAAGCCATACATTTGAGTGAAGAAACGGATGCAGGCAAAAAGGCGCAGGTACAGAAGAAATGCAGGTTAAATACAGAAGATGCAAGATCTTGCGTCTGTACAGAGGAATTTTAAAAATTAACGAATTAAATGCGATAAAACCTCAGTAAATCTTTTTTATTCAAAATAATAAAAAACTGCCACCTTTCGCAGAAAAACCATGATCATAAAAACACGGCAATTCCGTCTTTCCGCTTTCACTCCATTGCATTTCAGTTTAGGGAAATTACTGTAGGGCACAAAGTAACTATTTCAGCAAATTAGTTTAGTTCGGGTTGCTCAGTTTAGCAAAAATGCATTTTTGAATGACAATTTAAGAAGAAACACTTGCAGCTCAAGTTGGAAGGTTTCTCGAATTGTCCTCGATAAAATCAGAAAAACGAAACTTTCAAACTCCACAGATTAATGTGTGCTCTTTCCAACACGCGCCTTGGCCACGTTCTGTTCCACTGGGTTTGGGAGAATTAAATTTTTTGAAAATTTTGACGCAATTTACGCACAGTCTCTTTTAAATTTCAGTTTAAGGCCAGGGCTCAACTTAGAAAACTGATCGTCGTTTTGTGCAAGGGTGGCGCATGAATGTTGCAAAATTTCATGTTTTCCGTCCCGTTTTGCATGTTTCTCGGAAGCAAAATGAGCAAGAACGCCCGTTTTTACATCATTCCAGAGATAACTAAATGACCTTTATTCGAAGTTTCTCAAGAACCATTCGAGCCACAGAATTTATTTTGGCATCGTTGGATAGAGAATTGAAAACTAGATTCAGTCGTAACAACGTTACTGAGGAAATTTGAGTAGTTTTGACTCAGAAAGCGAAATTTGAATATCAGACACTTAGGTGCAAGATTATGCCAAAATTTCATGACCCCCCCTCCCTTTTAATCCGCCTTTGGGAGGGCTGAAAAGCCCATCCTGCCCTATCCTAAGAAGAAAGTGTGCTCTTTTCAATGCATGATTTGGCAGATTTTTTTTAATTAACCGCAACTTAGATTTAATATCTCTTGAACCAGTGTAGAGGCGAAAAACACTGTAAACTTGACATTCACCTCCGCCCGACTTTTACTAATTTTTCATCATTTTAATATGTAAAGAAAAGGTCATCAACTTTGTCCAAAGAACTAGCAAAAAAGGTCACCAACATTGTTTATAAGTAACGTTTTCCAGCCACTGAACTGAGTTACTGCGCCCGTGCGTTTCTAAAAACTCGTGTGACACGGTGTTTCCTATCATAAGTTGACACCTCAAAACGTAAAAAGTGACAATTGCAAGTTCAACTACCTGGCGCTGCGAGACGTCAAATTACTCGTTATCGAGTGACAGTTGAGACCTGTCAGACTTGTTTATTAATTGAAGTTGATGACATCTATAACATAAAACCATAGTTACACACTTTTCGATCGGTTTCTATGTCTTTAAAAGCTTGCAAAAGTTGATTAGAACAAAACAAAACCAATCAATGTCAACAGACAAGTGTCAAATTACTAGTTAACATGTAGTTACGGTTTTAGCCACCAGAGGGCGTTTGACCTGTTGAACTCGGCAATTACTCAGAGATTTTCAAAATCTCAGGTTAAAGACGTAAGTGTCAAAATTTGACATAAAGTAATGTGTGGCAAATGTGCGTGCTTCCTGAATTTTCAATGTAATTGAGGTGGCCTGAGGGGTGCGAAAGCAAAAGAACTGCCCCATGGAATCGGTAATTAGCGGAAGTAGCGATTGGAAATCGGTCGTAAAGCAATTGTTCATCCGTCAATCGCACTGACCACATGGGCACCGCATCCTCGTCCATGTAAATACGGCATTAATAACGTGAGATTAATGACCGAATAACGTATGGCTAATAACCACTTAATTGAGAGCCGGCAGAGTGGCGATTGAAACATGATGGAAACCAATAGTGCCGATAAAGCCGAATGTCGACGAGGAGATGGTGGATGATGGTGGTGCTGATGTTGGCCGAATGAAGATGTCAACCGGCCGCAGCCGAATCGAACGGAAAACTTTCGGAGCCGAAAATAATGCTAAACTAAAAGTGATAGTCATCACCGCAGGAGCGAAACCGGCGCTACGAAGGCGCTTATGTAAGACAAAAGTAGGGAAATGAACACGGCAGCCTATCGGGCAGGAAGCACATTGTGCGGCAGGAACAAAGCAGCCCCGTCAACTTCAATGCTGTCTCTGGCTGGAAAAGTTTTGACAATGCATTTTGTCTGTTGCGCTCCTTTTTATGCGGATATTTGTTGCTTGCCACAACCCAACTGCATTCGAGGCTCTACCCGATATCAATCAATAACGGTTTCTGATAAAAAAACTGAGATATTTGCAAAAAACTAGTTGGGAAAAACGGCAACACTGTGCCCCTGTATATCTTAAACTAGCAAAAAATGAATAGATCTGTTGCGATCTGATTATGAGATGTTTAAAGAAAAAATATCTATGGTAAATTGGAACGAAATCGTTAGTTGTTTCGACTCCAATGAAGCGACTAATAAATTTATAAAAGTATTTCTTGATGTAAAAAAATCAGCTACAATAGTACGTAAATAGTAGTTTTCGATACAAGGGCGAAAAATGTCGTTTTTCGAACGACGACGGCGTTTGACACCCGAGACGAAGTCGAGGGTGTCAATCCGTCAGGAGTTCGAAAAACAAATTTTCGCCCTCGTATCGAACACTATTTTTTATTCGAATGAAAGATTACACGAATAGTAAAATGCATCGATTTCATATTTAAAATTTTGTGGCAATGTCAATTTTTGAAATGTCATGTTTTGAAGTTTGTAATTAAGTTTAAGTACTTTTTCAACTTGAAACACCTGTGGTCTTGTGATGGTGTATGCATGTTGCATACTCTGCATGACATTTGCGCTTCTTAAAAAGATCATGTTTTACGTGTGACAACATCGCAAAAGTAGATAAGTAGGCCATTAAAACGATTATGAGACTGAACTTGTAACAAAGGTATAATTTACAAATT